ATTTTGAGAAATATCTTGTTTGCTCCCATTTCAACAAAAATTAACGTGAATGTATACCATTCCAAATTTGCAGTCAAATTGGAGGATACATATCGTGAAAATTACTTGGGGGGGGGGGGGGGGGGGGATGTAAAATTTTGAGAAACATCTTCTTATGCTAGGATTTAAACAATAATTCATATGTTTGAAGGTGCCTACAATATAAAAAATGGTAACAAAAAATTAATACATTTTTGTCTCCCCTGCGACGAAAGTTGCATGATACATAAGGATTACTATCCGTCGCCGGTGGCGGCAATGTAAACTTTTTGTATAAAGTTTTATATTTCAGAATATTGAAGACTTGAGGCTCTTTTCACAAAAAAAATAGTTATACGGAAATGTTCATGACTTCATCTGAAATTGACCTCATTTTCAAGGTTCATTGGTCGATGTTGAATTTTCATGGTTTTGTCTGTTTATCAGATACTATAAGCAATAGGTCAACTATATTTGGTGTGTGGAATGATTGTAACGTGTAAATGTCGGTGTGGCAGGGTTCATCTGACCTTGAGCTCATTTTTTCATGGTTCATTGGTCAATGTTAAGGCTCTATGGTAATGTCCGTGTATAGGATACTAAGCAATAGGTCACCTATATTTGGTTGATGGAATTATTGCATGATGTACATGTTGTCTGACAGGGTTCATGACCTTGACCTTTTTTACATTGATCATTCATAATGTTACATCTATGAATATAAAGCGCCAAGCGCAGCGAGGCGAATTTTTTGTTTTTTGGCGATTTTATGCTAAACAATGATATATTTTCCAATCAAAAGGAATACGCCATCTACGCCCCCTCCCCATTTCCATGAATCCGTCACTGGCAAGGGGTCTACAACGCGAAAAAGAATGTTGCACTCTCCATACACAAGGCATCGGATTTAATGTCCCTATATTCCAACCGTTTAGGCGTTGCGTTAGACATATGCACCTTACGCGTGACAGCCACACCGAGGCTCCTCTTTAACCTGGGTACTGCGGTCAAATAGTTCTTGTTTATGACAAATCAAGATTTTTGAAATTTTTATCATGAAATAATATTATTTCTTATTCTATTTAAAATTTTTTATTCTCGGTTTTTTAATATACAAATACCGATCTTGTCACTAAGATAAAATCGATCATCATGTCAGCTTCACAGTTCTAACTTCTTGTTTGAATCAGTGTTTATTTACAAAGTAATATTTGTACGTTCCTTAAATAAAATATTTGTACCTACGGTGGTCATTTAAATGAAACAGAGTTGTACTAATTCTTTTACTCTGTCTTTAAGTAAATAATGTGGAATACGAGTGGAAAGGGTAGAGCAGTCAACTGTTTGGAACCATCTTTACTCTATACTATGGAATATACACGCTGTAAATCTCTCTTTATCCTTTTATAATTCTTCTTGGTGAAAAAATCTGGTGAGGCATTTACCCCATTACCTCAATGGAAGATACGCCACTGAAATAAACAGGAAATGCGAAAAAACAAATACAATTACAATATATATATATATATATTCCCTTAAACTAAGTCCCTGAGGTACGTTTACCGTAATTTTAATACATTTTAAATGTCATGGTTCTACTCATGAACACAGCAATAATGCAAGGTGTGTGAACATTTTTTAAGCAAGGATTAATAACTCTATAATATACGTCCTTGTTTAAACTAAACAATTCTCTGGATGACACAAAAGCCGAACCATACGTAATCTCGCCGTTAAAAACTAGTTGAACTGACGATCAGACTACGTTATAGATCAGACTACTATAGTTATTTCAGATTATAGGACGCACTGAGCTTACGACGCCATACAAAATTTTGTCCCTATTCCGAACGGACGTGGCTACGTATTTATGCATCCAGCACAGTCAAAATGCGCCTCTTTAATTAGCAGTCTACTGGGTGGAAGAATTCTAGGTGGACTGGCTTTGCTTTCACTACACGTGTGAACTCCTCAATAAATCAAGCCTAGGAACAGTAACTAAGCAAATAAACATGTTAAATAAATATCTTCTTTCGGCCTGCAATGTACACTGTTTTGTAATGTTTGCAACTAAATCAGTTATTCTGAAGTCTCGTGCCATAGAACACTTTAAGGTCACAAATTAGTAAAAAAAAACCAAAAAAAAAAACGCATCAGTGGTCCCGTTGTAGCTTGGACTTGAGGTCGTGGATTCAATTCATGACTAGGTCAAATAAGTGGCATGAAAAATGGTATTCCAGGCTGGAGTAAGAATAACGTGTTTGGGTATGGTGACATGTCTTTCCGCTCACTGTTACCTTGTCAACAAGCTTCTAAATAATCGGGCTCAGAGTTTCAGTCAAGTTCATATTCATATTAATCTATTCACCGATCCATCCATCTATTCATCCATCCATCCATCAAGCCATCAGTGAGTAAGTTGTCGCCAATGACTTAATCCGACTAAATCATATATCTATCTAGGCCTGGACCCTGTTCCTGCCAAACACTTGCGTGTGCACTGCACACAAGACCACGTTTCGCATTTTAACATGAAGTATAATAACAACAAATAACACATGGCCTAGATAGTATTACTTAGTACAGGCACAAATGTGGTGGGGTTATACCTCTACTTTTTCTGTCTGGACCATATTTCCTAAAACTTAAACACGCAACATACTTGTATTTAGGTGTTAAGAACTTTTACGATTCATAAAAAGTAAAACTGTACATCATGATCATGCACACATCAAGCATTATTTGAAATTTAAGTTAACAACAAACATGACAAAAGCATGTAATATTCAGAGAACTGTAAGGGTACCTGGACAGCAAATGAAGTGGCATGTAAACCGCTGATCACATTGGCTATACAGATATCTTTAATGGTAGCTCTGCAGCAACTTAGAACACAGAAAAAAGATTGAGCACATATAAGATTTAATCATAAAATAGACATATTGTCATGCCAGGGCCTTTCATAGCTTGCTATGCGGATTGGTTTTGTTCATTGCTCGTTAGTTGGTCTCTGGTTGATATCATTGCATTGGCAATCATCCCATCTTATTTTATTTTGAAAGCTATAAAAGGACATTTTGAAAAATTATAATTAAAAGCAAAAAACATAAAACCATAGTATTAAGACAAGCCTAGTTAAGCATGTTACCATATATTCTGTTTTAATTCTTAGTTTGTTTTTATCTCAGTCAATTATTAATATCAAATTACTTTTAGCCTATGTGCATTTATTCTAAATATTCTATGAACTTTTCATTGGGAGTAATGTTTATTATCCTCAATAATTAGATTGTGGACTAAATATTGCTTTGAATAGTCTATAATAAGTTCTTATTCCCAGTAGTGTGATTTCCCCTTTTTTATCACTTATTTCTTCCAGACGGATAGATATCGTAAAACAATCTTTATTTCCTTTAACATTTTTTTAACAACCATACAATTGTTTACAAGAGTCTAAGGAATTCATAAAATAAAATCCCATTGCATTACTAAGTTCACAACCACGAAATTCAATGAAATTTATTTAAAATTTTATTGATGATAAGACACTCATTAACATTATATGAGGTCTGGATGGGGTTTACAGAATATAGAATAATGGTTAAAAATTGCAAATTAAATGGCAAACAATTAAAGAATAGAGAAACTAGAGGCTCTAAATAGCCTGTCTTGCTCACCTGCATCTTCAACAATGGCCATTTTTAGTAAAAAAGGGAAATAACTCTATTAAGAGTTAACTGACAATTTCAGTCATGTTGCATTATTTGTAGATCTTATCCTGATGATAATTTTTCCTTTTTTAAAGTTTCTGTTTATCTAATATAGTTTTAAAGATAATAGGCACAAAATGCCAAAAAATGTAAAAAAATATCATTAAAGGGCATTAAATCCAATAACGAGTCGGCTGAAGATTTCGACCATATGGCTAATTTGAAGATCTTGTCTTGCTGATCATTTGTGCAATTTAAAGTTTCTATCCATCTATTACAGTTTTCAAGATAAAAGGCGAAAATGGGGAAAAATGGGAAAATCGTCATTAAAGGGCAATAACTTCAATAAGGATATAATCGACTAACGATTTAGGTTATTTAAGGAATAAGGAATGACTGTAATATTTTTTTTCTATCTATGAAGAAATAACATAAAAATGTGGTGCATACTGAATAACCCGCGTAGCGTGTTATTAAAAAATGTGCACCACATTTTTGAAGTTATTTCGAATAGACAGAAAAAATATCACAGTCATATGAGCTGATAGACAAAAAAACTTTGAGCCAATCAGAAGACGTGTTACATCCAAAATTAAATTATGTTGACTTGCTTATTAAAGATTCTATCTATCTATTATAGTTTTAAGATATTAGTCAATAGTTTAATTTATTTGTAGTTTTCAAAATAATATACCCCTATGTTCTATTTTTAGCCATGTCAGCCATTTTGGTTGGCAGGTGGGGTCAGCGGACAGATTTTCTAAACTCTATACCTCAATTATGATTGTGGCCAAGTTTGCTAAAATTTGGTCCGGTAGTTTCAGAAGAGAACATTTTTTGTAAAAGTTATAACGACGACGGACGATGGACTCCAAATGATGAGAAAAGCTCCCTTGGCCCTTTGAGTCAGGTGAGCTAAATATAGGCAAACATAATAAAGAATAGAGAATAATGGTCTATAAACAAATAAGGAATAAGGAAAAATGGTAGAAAAATTTAAAGAATACAGAAATGAAGAACCCCCCCTATCCAGACCCTCGTAAATGGGATGATGTATACTTATTTCATTAAGTTTATTAAAATCTGATGTAATTTATGTTTGAAGTAAAAGCAACATAAACTCTTTTGTTCTATATACAGTGTAAATACGTTGCTATTGGATTTTCGAAGACTTTCTATGACAAAATTGATAGAATTTATATGTATATGATCCATTCAAATAAAACGGGAGAAATAAAAACAATGAAATTGATTTTAAAATCGATTTGCAGACACAGGTAAACTGGTTGTAGAAATGGAAAACGCAATGAAAACGTTGGCAATTTTAAGTTTAACCATCTACACAGTGTGTGCTTTCGGTATTTCAAGCGATTCTAGACAGGACAGTAACACATTCTATACGATTGCAAACATACAATCGCCTTTTGTATGTGGAATGCTTTGCTTACAGGCAGTGAGGTAAGGCAAACGCTTCAATACTGACATGAAGTAATTGATACTTTTAGGGCTGTATATTCCAGTTTATGATCTACCAATGTATGAAAATTAGTTCCTTTAGTATAAATAAAATATGATAATTTATTGACTGGTTGTTTAAATGGCATTTTCTCAGCAATTTTGGTTATAAAATGGCGGTCATTTTTAACTGGATGGGGAAGTCGGAGTTTCAGGAGGAAGCCACCGATCTTCTGCAGGAAAACTGGCAATCAAGTTAACTTGGCCTTAGATGGGTTTGGTTGTATGGTTTTGAAGATTGTTCTCCTGGCCTTTTACCTGTTTTGATATTACTAGGGTGGCTTAGATATTCTAGAGAAAAGGTCCAAATTGTTTTGATGCTCACAAACGTGTTATTATTGATGATGATGATAATTTCTGTTTAAAGTCCATTGGCAAATATCACATGCATGTGAGGAAAAATATTTTTTTGAGAATATGCTGATGCGGATTTTTAACGTGCTAGATCACAAAGTAACAGTCTGCAGACAGGCATGTCACACTACCGGAACTTTATTTGGACTCTTGAGTCAACCATTTTTTGCTCTTACTCCTAAATGCCACGTGCTTAGCGGAGGAACATCAAATGTCAATTTTAAAAGTCTTTGCTTTGACCCTAATCAAAAAAAATTAAAATTCCAAATCAAGTACGAAGTTGAAGAGCTTTGATGACCCGAAATTCCGAAATGTTTTGTCAAATACAGTTAAGGTTATCTATTTCTGGGATAGAAAATCCTTAGTATTTCGAACAATACAAATTTTTGTTAATAGTTGATAATTTATAAAATATGACCATATCAAATATTAGTTATATTAAACCATATTAAACGAGAGAAAGTTTGCGCTTTTATATTGGTATTTATTTTATTTTATAAACTTTCTGTTTAGTAAGTCTCAGAATTAAAACAATTCAATTATTACTGATTAGCAAGATTTGATGTCATATAAAAATAAGGAGATGCGGTATGATTGCCAATGAGACAACTATATCATGTACTTTTCATTTTCAAACATCCATAACTGTTTCAATCTAAAATATTTTACAATCAAATTGATGTTTCTAGACAGGAAATTAACTTCTACATTTGATTTTCATAGATGTGAGGCAGTCAATTTTAGAGCAGCCAACAACACGTGCTTCTTCTTGGACCAAACTAGTACCAGTACTAGGCTACCAGAGACAGGATATGTTTCATCAAATATTTCAAGTTGGAAGCCGGTATGGATACGCTTGAACTTAACCAAGAAACAATTTTTGCATCACATAATTAGATAAATATTGATATGCCATTTAAATTTTAAAAGGATTTGTTTGCATGTTTTGATTTACATTTTAAAACACATTCTCAGTAACAACTCAAATTTTTTTTAACTACTTGAATAACTATATTGATGCAGTTTTAAAGAATTTCTTAATGGTCCAAAATTCCAGTGTAAGAAAGAGACCTAAGTCCCTTAATACTGAATTATAGTACATTTGTACAATTAACTGAATTGATCTTAACTACTTGTTTGATTATTGTTTGTTCTCAGAAGGTAGAAATGGAACTTAGATGAGCAGTGATTAGCGTAGTACCAATATTTTAATTTCAGGAACTAGCTGGACACTGCCAGACAAAACCATGCAACAACAGTTCCCTCTGTGTACCCAACACAAGTAGCTACAACTGTATCACAGCTGGTGAGACAAAACTAGAATTGAATTAAGTCGTATTGATTAATATTATCAGGCATTTACATGTATAAATATAATATTATTCCAAAGATTTGAAAAACCTTGACAGCAAGGAGTTTGTGATCTGTCACATTTGTTGTAAAATCCTTACAAAAAGTATTTCAAGGCCATTGACTAATAAGATTTTCCATAACTTCCTATCAAAAGTATAAATATATTGATCGGCTCACAATAAAGAGATATAAGAAGATGTGGTTTGAGTGCCAATGAGACAACTCTCCATCCAAGTCACAATTTATAAAGTAAACCATTATAGGTCAAACTACGGCCTTCAACAGGGAGCCTTGGCTCACACCGAACAGCAAGCTATAAAGGGCCCCCAAACATGACTAGTGTAAAACCATTCAAACAGGAAAACTAACGGTCTAATCTATATAAAAAACAAGAAACGAGAAACACATATGAACCACATCAACAAACGACAACCACTGAACATTAGGTTCCTGACTTAGGTACATTTAAGCTTCTCACTCTTTTTTGAATCGATCTATACCTACTAATGAAGAACTCTCTCTATAAGGTGCTAACAAGCAAAACGTACTAAATTTGAGGATAGTTTAACAGGTCTTTTGTCAAATTTTCAATACAACTGTTTCCATCGAATATCCTATACTTTGAAATTGAGCAAAACGCTTTATATGAGGGTGTGGATGGGGGTTTACAGAAAAGAGAATAATAGGCAAAAAATATAAAAAATAGAGAAAAATGGACCAAAAAAATAAAGAATAGAGAATAATGAGGTGCTAAAATATAAAAAATAGAGAATAATATGCAAAAAGTATAAAGGATAGAGAAAAATGGCCTAAAAATTTAAAGAATACAGAAATGGAGGACCCCCTTCCCCCATCACGACCCTCTTATATCAACAATACAGTCCTGTTCCATTCTAAAATAATATTAGAAGTTACATTGTACTTTTATTTTTCAGCATGGGCGTACTAGAGTACACGAGATACTATCGATGTGGAAAATCTCTGTAGATGAGAATTAATGTAGTAATTTTCGTTCGAGATACAGTCAACGTCAATTTTCAACGACTTCATGGACACAGTATATATATAATTCACATTTTACGTTTAAACATAATGTAGGATAGAAATTTATGAAAAGCAATTGGAAAGGACTGTATTACAATGTACATGTATTGACAGGAAACTCTCGAATGAATCACACAATATAAATGATATACTCCGATCCGCTTTATAAATATTTCAATCTAAAATCTACAATGTAATGTGTAAATCATCACACTTTGGAAATAAAACCTGTGTGTAGCAATTGTAGAAACAGAAAGCGTGTAAAATAGTGCGAGAGAGAGATTCACAATGGTTAAGGATTACTTGTCCATTATAATATGAATGTGCTCAATATTGTATATGTTATTGTTTTACTACCTGTTAGTTTTCATTATTTAAGCTGTTAAATTTTTTTCAATCAATAAAGTTTTGAAGTGTTGCTGATACCACTGATCCTTAAGTATATTCAGTTTGATGCTCCGCCCAAGCCTAAACAGTATATATTTCCTGTTTCATCTACTGAAATATAAACCTCTAGTACTAGTACATTGTTGATACGTAGAAGACCCAATTTGAAAGTAAAAGAAATCAAGAAGACTGGGTAATGGGTTCGCGGCTATCGACAGTAGATAGATATATACCGATGATGTATTTTTAGAAAATAAGATCGCAAACGGTCAATGAAAGAACGTTTGTAGAGTTTTCATAAATTTAAAGCACCAAATGAAGTTTGTCAATATGATGGATGTTATGCATTCGAAAAGCTATAAAGAAAAGCTAAACAGAATCTTTTCCCATTGCTGCTTTCGTTTTATCAGCTCTTCAACGTTAGTACTAGGTTTTGGATTTTCAAATAATCATGTCTCGCATCACCGGAGAGACAAACACATAGTGTTGCGAATCTGGTGCATACAAATTGATACCGTTGAAGTTGTTCATATATTCTCGGGAACAAATTACTCTCTTTTGCATTTGCGCAATACAGACGGCGGTGTATATAACTTAGAATATGCGAACTCTTTATTTGCGTTTTCTATCACTTGGCATTACATGTTGTTGTCAATGCTTTAAATTTCAGTTTTTAAATGACTTCTTTGTCCATGACTAATATTTTATTGACTATTATTTTACCCCGGTAAGTTGTTTTCTTGATTGTAAACCGAGAACATTGTTCATATACATCTAATGCATAAGTAGTTTTTTTTTTAATTTCATACAGTTAACCAGCATACAGTAATTCATCATTTTTTTTGTGTTTAGAACAGGTCTGGTTGTGTCATTTAAGTCATCTGATGTTCATAAATGCAAGTAACTCATTTCCAAGATAATGCTACATTTTTTTGTAGTTGCTAGTGATTGTTGGAAGATGTTTTGATTCGAGGCACGGTTTGGCAATTTACATTAATAGTTATAATGAAGACAATGTGCTGACCTCTGCATGTGTTTCTGTTTTTTTATGTTGCTGGGAGGCGTTCTCATAAACACCCAACATCTCATTATTTATATTTTTCAAAATATAAGGTCAATTAATGGAGTACAACAGTTATATATGAGTAAGAATGAAGTAAAAAATGAATTGGTAAAACTACATGAAACAAATAAATGTCAAAGAAAACGAATAATTCATAGAGATACAAATAGTAATTGTGCTCGAGTCAATAATTCATGACACAAAATCATTACAGACATAATCAAAGTACTGAAGTACTGAACATCGGATGACCACAAGTTCTTGAGGATGGTTAAAAGCACTTGTCTCAGAAAAAACAACATATCTCTTTACCTAAAACTGAGGTTAATGTACAGAGATATATTTTTTTCTGAGACAAGTTCGTGCGTGGATGATGACTTCAACTTCACCGTAATAACTATTATATTGTAGTGATACAAATCAGTATACACTGAGTTGTTGTTTATATTATATTAAAATAACAGTTACATATATATATGATTTGAATCCATTTGTATATCATTCTATTCTACTATTCTAAAAATAGTGCAATGCAAGTGCATGGTGGACACTTTTCTGTAAAAATTCGATTTTTCTAAGATTGGATACGAGTAGGCATTCATATTTTCCCGCAAAATCAATTACAGAGTTACCGGTCCTTGACGGTATTTTCACAAAACTTTCTTTGAGATATTCTTCCGCATGCTTTAACACAATTTTTCGGTACGTGTGCATTGATATTATCAATGATTTTTTACTTATATATATATATCTAACTACAAAACATTTTCATATTATTAATTTATGTTGTAAACAAAAATATTTTTATCAGTATTCATTGAAGAGATGTATTTATATCAAACGATAAGGAATGTTATTTTGCACTCGTTTATGTGCGCGTATTTATCATGTTTATAGATCGGTTACAAACCCAAAACTAATTTACATAATGGAAATCTAGGCGATAGCAATACATCGGGATGACCTCAAGGTCATCGCGATGTAAAAATTACAAAAAGCAGAGGAGAAGCGCTTTTTATTGTTGTTCTTTGTCTTAATATCTGAAAGTTACTGATAATATTAAATGCTGAGGTAAAGATTTTGTTATCAGTATTGTGTTTTGAAAAGGAAAACAAACAGCGGAATGATTCTTTTACTTAAACAGGTGTTTTTAATTGGTAGGTTTAGAACTTAATATACGTTATGCGACTGACACTACATACATTGTTTGTTGTTGAAGTCCACATCTTGGTAACGTCTTTTTCGTTTTTTTGTTGTGTTAATGTGTTGCCGTCTTATTTACGAACATTGTATACCCTAGGAAGATGGTAACTAACAATACGGTATTTCCCAGGTATGTCACAGATCAGTTATTCAAATTTGTGAGTAAATGACCGATCCTATCACACCATAGAGTACAATGCAATCTTTGTAAATGCCTGCCATCGGAATAATATTTGAACATTCTTAGTGATAGGTAAATAAAGTGGTACAGGTTATCGTCCATCGGTTAGTTTTAAAGAAAACAGTCATTCGTCATTTAGGCTGCAAAAACTGTAAAACGATGCACTGAAGCCTGTCTAATAACCAATATAAACTATTGAATAAAAGCTGTATATTTGTGGATGTTGTTTGAACATTTCTGATCGTGAAAAAGACACTGGTAATCTTTTGCTAAACGCATTACAGTTATTCCTCGTTGGAATCGTAGAGTGTTTAAGTTACGAAGCTACAAACCGTAAACCCGACTACAATTTTCTATTTTGAAAGATTAATATATTAAATACAGTTCAACAATTTTGGACATGTTTTTTCCATTGTTGAATTTTTCTGTCTGTATCATTTGAATAATTGTGAGACATCGTTCATCCAAGTTTAATGCAACTGTGACATTTAAATGTGTATGCATATTGCGAATCTGATAAGATTATGATTTTAGTTTTACCAATTAGCAAAAGACTGCATATTTAAACCATATCTGTAATTGAAAGGGAAAATATTGACAAAAACCACATAGTCCTGTAAAATCAAAGTAATAAGAGAAATTAAATACTGTTTAATGAATGGAGTATTATAATGAATTATGAATATTACAACAATAGTAAACGCTTATAAACAAATACCCTTAGTGTAAACGCATGATAGACCGTAAAAGAAGCTTATTCACATGTAATAGTGTTTATTTGTATACACAACATATAAACAAAAGTGTGATTTAAAAGTTAATTGTGGTAATGATAATTTGTTGAAATGAAAATCTTACAAAATGGGTAGTGGAACCTCGATAGATAACAAGCATGACAAGGTAAGTAAGCATCGATATTGTGTTATTCAAGCTTCATTCAAAAAGTCATTATTTAGATTCATTTTAGTTCATTCCTTTCCTACGAATATTATGTGACACATTCCCCTTAAATTTCAAATCAATTATAGAAAATAGCAAGCGTAATCGTTTTGATTAAAATGACCCCAACCTATTCTGTAAACATTCGAAGTTGAATTGATTGAAGTATCACTTACCTATTCAAACTATACATATTTTTATAGGATTTTATCTTGATTAATGATTCATTGTTTTAAATTAAAAAACAAACAATAAAATAATGCCAAATCACTCACCAGGAGAATTATAGCAGTACAAATTACGGCTAAAAACACACGTGACCAATGAGGAGTGTATCATATATTTGTATTATTACCAAGTAGTCTGTACATCTGTTTGATTGCCAGGCCCAAAGGGTAACATACGCCCAGTAGCAAAATTTTGGTACTGGTATATAATTAAATGATACTTTTTCATGTCAAACCTAGATTTATGGAAAATGTAAAACAAAGTAAAATTAAGGCGTCAATTCCATGATGATAAAGTTATCCCTTGATGGATTTGGCTGTTCTATGTAGACCCTTTTAGTTGTTGATGCTCTCAAACGTTAAATGTATCGGGCTCCGGTAAATATGGGCTCTAGCGTTCCTGATAAATGATTATTCCATAAACACGTCGTAAGCGCACAACTTGGTTGTTATATTTGTTTATCAGAATTACTTAAAAACAAATTTAGACAGTTGGGCTTAATGCAAGTCAATAGGAGTATTGGAAAAAAAACCAACAAAACATGTTATATTGGCATATTGAACAATGTTATTGTTTCATGTTTTTCTAGTATAAAAATAAGAAGATGTGGTATGATTGCCAATGAGACAACACCACACCAGAGACGAAATGGCATAGACGGTTAGCAACTATAGAACAAAAACAAGTACAAGAACATATTTTATTACCAATTAAAGGCCATCAAGGGGCATATAGAACATATTAGGAAAAAGAACATTGATTAGCATAGAAACATAGAATTTAAATACACAATCATAATAAAATCAGACTGTAATAAAGCCTTTCGTTTATAGTATATAACATAGTTACATGACAAATAAATAGATCTAACTCATCTGTTTGTAACTATGTCACCGTACGGCCTTCAACAGTAAGCAAAACCCATACCGCATTCCAAGCTATAAAAGGCACCGAAATGACAAATGAAAAACAATTCAAATGAGAAAACTAACGGCTTGATTTATGTAAAAAAAAATAAAACAAAAAATAACTATGATAAACAGCAACAAACGACAACCACTGAATAGCAGGCTTCTGATTTGTGACAAGCACACACAGACTGTGACGGGTTTAAATATGTTTGCGGGTGCCAACCGTCCCCTAACCTGAAACTGTGCTGTAACAGCACAACATAAGAACAAGATATTAATCAATTTCTTCATAAAATTCAATTTTGATAAAAACTGTTCGGTATATCAAAATATCCTTTATAACATTTGCTTGTTGCTTGTTGCTTGTTGTTTCCCTTTAAATGAATATTGATAAACTTAAATACTGTAAATCTTTATATTTTGCATTATTTAAATGAGCGCATTGCTAGCTAAAGAACTAGGAAAAACAATGCACTACCAATAAACTTTTATTCTGATTGTCAACTCATCCGATACGATGATTGTCTGTTGTCTATACATTATAATTGAAAACAGAATGGAAAGGGAAATATTTATTGATTTCCAATCCATATTTTTCGTTCTACATGCATATAAGTTACACATGGGCAATGTGCTTGTTATATGTAAATGAGTACCTTTATCACACGTATATGTTAAAAAGTTACAATTGACCGTCTAAATGAAAATACCACTTTAGTGTGTCCGAAGAGCTTTTCTGGGCTTATAAACCTTCATAGTCGATTTGCCAATTCCGCAATTAAACCTGTAAATAGAGATTGTACTAGGTGTTAAAGAGAGGCGAAAGATACCCAAGGGACATTCAAACTCATAAGTCGAAAATAAACTGATAACGCCATGGCTAAAAAAGAAAAAGACCAACAGACAAACAATAGTACACAAAACACAACATAGAAAACAAAAGACTGAGCAACAAAAACCCAACCAAAAACTAGGGGTGATTTCAGGTGCCCCGGAAGGGTGATCAGATCCTGCTCCACATGTGTCACCCGTCGTGTTGCTCATGTTAGTACAAACCCGGTAATAAGTCTAAATCGGTAGGTCACATTTGGGAAAAGGGGACGGGATTGTAGTTCCGACATATCCGCTATCATCTGTGAAACGGATATTCCGTAACGGTCAACCAACTCGTGATGACGTCCGTAAAATTTACGAAGGGATTATTTCAACTTCACCACTTTGAACTCTTGGTTTAATAGCTTCCTTATGAGCAGCAACCCTATATCAAGGAAATCATGATAGGAAATACAAGCCCTGGAGTATCGTATCAACTGGGAGATATATACTCCGTATGTAGGCGCTGCTGGAATGTTGCTACATAAAAATGGAAAGTTCACAATTGGGAAGCTGAAATCATCTCTTTTGTCATAAAGTTTTGTTTTCAACCGACCCTCATTGTCAATTTCTAGATGTAAGTCAAGATATGAGGCAGACTTAACTGTATCTGTTGTATCCTTTATCTCAAGTTCGATGGGATAGTTGCGTTCAACATAATCACCAAATTTTGAATTATTTAGTGAGAGAACATCATCTATGTAGCGGAAGGTATACTTTAGGAAGAATATATACATTTTTATTTCCGCCAAGATGTCGTTAAATGAAATTAGATACCTTGCATTTACCATGCTTTTCGATAGCATATGGTCAACTCGCTTAAAGATCCCCCTCTTAATTTTTTGAAAATATCATTCTGCATTGACAATAATATCTTGGTGTAAATTAGATACGCCCATTCGAGCTAACCCCATCAAGGTATATATAATACTAACAATGAAGAACTAGAGAAAAGGGCAAAATATGTGCATTTTTTTTTTTATATAGATTAGACCGTTGGTTTTCCCGTTTGAATGGTTTTACACTAGTAATTTTTGGGGCCCTTTATAGCTTGCTGTTCGGTGTGAGTCAAGGCTCCGTGTTGAAGACCGTACTTTGACCTATAATGGTTTACTTTTATAAATTTTGACTTGGATGCAGAGTTTTCTCATTGGCACTCATACCACATCTTCTTATATCTATATAACGTGTGCGTGACGTGTGTAATATTGAAGTCTATCAAATCTTTTATTTAAATTCAATCTTTAGTTAAGTTAAAAAATCTTTTGATATCAATTGTTATATTTCATAAAAAATTGATTTAAAAAACGTATAAATCACTTTTAATTTAACATACTTTGCATGGACAGCAGCAATTTTTGTCCGGTTTACAAAGAGAAACACATAGTATTTAACGTGTGTTATAACCGAATCTTATCGGTCATTTGAGAATAGACTATTTAATATGTATTGTTTATACATGTAGGTAAATATTTTAATTTTACATTTCTAATGCATGGATATTTAGCTACATACAAAAACGCTTAAATGCTATCATCCCAGCTTGATAATTTAAATGGAAACACTGTTGAAGCAGTAATCGAACTCCCCTTTTGTCACTATCAAAATGTTCTTGTACAGGTTTTTTTTTGGTCAAAGTTTTTGATGGATTTTTTTATAGTGACAACCGTAATTCGAACTCGCCTTTTGTTACTATCAAAATTTTCTTGTACAGGTTTTTTTTTTGTCAAAGTTTTTGATGAATTTTTTTATAGTGACAACCGTCAAAGAAAATTTTGATCAAAAACGTTGACGGACTTGGATGGAATAGATACTCATCCTATTTTTCTTGAAACGTTGATGGGCTTGGACGGGATTTATCCAATCACAGTGCAGTTTTTTTCTTTGACGAAGTTTTGATGAAAAACTTTGATAGTTGATATTAGTTGTCGTTTGTTGCTGTGTATCATATTTGTTTTTCGTTCATTATTTTGAACATAGATTAGGCCGTTAGTTTTCTCGTTTGAATTGTTTTACATTTGTCATTTCGGGGCCTTTTATAGCTGACTATGTGGTATGGGTTTTGCTCATTGTTGAAGGCCGTACGGTGACCTATAGTTGTTAATTTCTGTGTCATTTGGTCTCTTGTGGAGAGTAGTCTCATTGGCAATCATACCACATCTTCTTATTTTTATATAAAAGTCATATTATGATAGGAAGTACGATTCTTTATGGTTGATTAAAACTCGAAACAGTGGCATTAACCACTGGTGGTAACATTTTGTTGTTGTTCTATAACCTATAACCTTCAACCTCTCTTACTTCAAAACTCTTCTCACAGTGTGGTTTCAGTTTTCAAGTAAAAAAAATAAATTAATGCCTACTGCGTGGTCTTATACGATGAGCGGGAACTGCGAAAAAGATAGGAAGGTGTTAAATGTTTTGCCATTACAATGCCAATAAATTTAAGTCAATAATACTGTTGAAAGTTCCAAATAATATCTCAGCTTCCTGTAAAATTCAATGCAATTGATCAAAATGAAATTCAATCAATATTATATTTCTACCAGGAAGCTAACGTTTAATCATTAAAAGTGTTATTATTAATATAGAAATATCTATTATTCAAAACCTACAGTCTGGTTTAATTTATTTTCAACAAAACCTATAGGAGGATTATCCAACGTATATCAATTATGTCAAATTCTTAAATCTCGTGGCAGAATTGATTATATGACTTTCGACGTCTAGGTATTGTGTATTGGAGATCCCAAAGTAAACAAAATATACATGGAATCGTTAATCATTTAATCTTCCGTAAATTTAAATAGTAAATGAAATTTGAGTCTATTCTCACCTGCTGTACGTCATTATTAAAATTATTAATCTTAAACTTGCATGTACTGATTCGTTCCTTTTAAAATTGTTATGTAGTCCAGGCCATATACCAACTCAACACAAATATCAGATTCGGAATCAAAATTAATGATTTATTATATTGTTACATACCAATATAAAATTGAGAATGGAAATGGGGAATGTGTCAAAGAGACAACAACCCGACCATAGAACAGACAACAGCAGAAGGTCACCAACAGGTCTTCAATGCAGCGAGAAATTCCCGCATTCGGAGGCGTCCTTCAGCTGGCCCCTAAACAAATATATATACTAGTTCAGTGATAATGAACGCCATACTAAATTCCAAATTGTACACAAGAAACTAAAATTAAAAATTATACAAGACTAACAAAGGCTAGAGGCTCCTGACTTGGGACAGGCGCAAAAATGCGGCGGGGTTAAACATGTTTATGAGATCTCAACCCTCCCCCTATACCTCTAGCCAATGTAGAAAAGTAAACGCATAACAATACGCACATTACAATTCAGTTCAAGAGAAGTCCGAGTCTGATGTCAGAAGATGTAACCAAAGAAAATAAACAAAATGACAATAATACATAAATAACAACAGACTACTAGCAGTTAACTGACATGCCAGCTCCAGACTTCAATTAAACTGATTGAAAGATTATGTCTTCATCATATGAATATCAGGCACAATCCTTCCCGTTAGGGGTTTAGTATCATACCATCATAACATATATGAGAAGAACATAACCCGTGTCATGCCAACAACTGGTTTTTAAATAAATGTGTTTAGTGCCGATGCAAAGACCCTATAAGTGAATCAATATTAACGCCAAAATATGCAATCTTTAATGACCTGACAACAGTATCGTAACTATATCCCTTCTTAATAAGTCTATTTAAAGGTTTTGTTAGCTTCAGAGGTGAATACTGACATTTTTGTGCTTTATAAAGAATATTTCCATAAAAAATTGGATGTGAAATAACTGAACGTATAAGAAGTCTGCATGTTGAGCTATATTTACGAATGATGTCCTTATACCGATGATAAAATTTAGTTAATGTTTTGACTAGTTTGTGATATCGAAAACCCTGGTATTATAATTTTTCAGTAATACATAAATTTCTCTCGTTAAAATCTAAAACATTGTTACATACACGAGCGAATCGTACAAGTTGAGATATATAAACACCGTAAGATGGTGACAAGGGAACGTCACCATCTAAAAATGGATAATTAACGATAGGAAATGAAAAATATCATACATGTACATCTCTTTAAGCGTATAAAATATAATATAGGTACAATATGACTTTGATACACTTTCAATATGAACATAAACATAATGTATCATAGCAGAATAGTTTATGTCGTAGATAAAATATGCTATGCCCATTTTTGATAAAAACGTTTGTGCGTTGTCCTTTCAAATATAGAAATATGCTCATTCTCGGTATTTTACGTTGAATGGCAAGGAAAAAGTCAAACATTAATACTATCTACGAATGATCTAGTTACCGGTTTCCTTCTAAAATATTGTAGTATCAAACAGGGAACCAAATGAGATTCATTTCGGACCAAAAGTGTACGGAATTATCCGGACCGACTCTAATAACATTGTAATTGTCTTATATGTTTCACTGTTTAAACATCTGTGACAGTATACTATTATCAGAAACACACGCAGCCAATTTATTTTGTTCATTTTTCAAACACTGTTGATGCAACTACCGAGGCAAAGACCTTAGACGATTTCAGTGGTTCAAAAATTCAAAATAGTTTATTTGTTTTCCAGGCTTAATTCCCCAACAAATCTTATTCAGACATTTTTCATATTTTACAAGAAAACGTCATGGTTTTTTCAAAGATTTTCTTCTCATTTCGTGTTCATTCCGTTTAAGCTCTCTTTTTATACAGCTTCAAATGCAGTTATTCCTGATGAACTCAATGTTAATTCTAATCGTGCACGAGAGTACCTAAAATGGTTATTTCAGAATCACGAGTTGTGCGCACACAAATCAAGTTGTTATCTTGATTGATATATTTGTGGAAAAAATATGCAATATTATTTTTAAAATCTTATATGTTTATAAATAAACTCATCATAGATACCAGGATTAAAATTTTGTACGCCATACGCGCGTTTTGTCTACAAAAGACTCACCAGTGACGCTCAAATAAAAAAAGTCTGAACAAGACCAAATGAAGAACACCTTCATTGAGGACTCAAATTCCGAAAGGTTTTATCAAATATAGCAAAGGTAATCTAATCGTGGAATAGAAAATTCTTAGAATTTCGAAAAATTCACTTTCTTGAAGATATAGAGGCACATAAAAAATAGTTAGACAAAATTAATAAACGAGAATATTATTATAATTGGTAGGTTGTGCAATTTAAAAAATGTTTGTTTTTCTTAAACGTATAATATCATAAAATGAATAAACAGAAAATGATGAATATGATTCACCTGAAAACATTTGAAGCTTTACTTTTTTATAAAAATATCGTTAAGAATATCACATCTTAATATATAGAAGTTGTGGTCTTTTAAGGTCTACTGAATAGTTTATACTTGTCATAATGCTGCATTGCTGCAAGATTGTCGTTTAAATTATAATTGCTGAAAAGACTATACATATTATGGGTTGATATAGATATAGGATTTTCGATGCAAGCGTGTGACAAATATAGATTATAACATGGCATTTTTCTTATCAGACCCCTTATTAGCCCTAGGTCATGATATCAGCCCGAGAGCCGACAGACTCGAGGGATGATTTTGACCATGGGTTGATAAGGGGTCTGATATGAAAAATGACATGTTAATAATAATATATTCTTTTTATCATATACTTCAGCAGAAGACATACAAACTAAAACTATTTTCAAAACTTTGAAACAATGCATTTGTTTTGCATTTTTTAATAATTACATATTTGCCTGATTCCTAATATTTTTTTTATATCCAACTTTGTTAGGTTTTACACAAGAAAACATGTACCATTGAGGTGTATTTTCCGGAATTTGCCGAATGACGTCGAAATGTCATGCGATAACGTTGCAGAAAAGCATGCGTCAATAACCGGAAGCAGTTGATATAAAACGGAAGCAGATGATTTAAACCGGAAACAGTTGATTACAAAAGTCATATCACACGGCTAAAGCAATTCTTCAAATTTAATGAATAAATATATGTACAAATTAGTTTTATCATGGGGTACAGTTATACCATTATTTTCTACTAGTATATGATAAACAAAGAGGTAACTCGTTTTGACCGTAAGATATTTAGATGGTCCAATATCTATGCCTGTCCTGGGTTCACAATGTTATTGTTTTTCCTTTCTCTGTACATTAGCTATTATTCATCTCTTTACAACATCTTCTGCTCACCCAAGACGAATAGTTATACCATTCATGACAATGCAGGGTACTTCGACACAATTAAAACAGTTTAAATTACAGTTTTTTTTCCTATAGCAACGTTCGCCATTTGGTCAAGATTATTTGTTTTTGACTGATGTTCTTGAAGATGCAGATGCACATAAACAGACGACTTCGACACAATTTGTAGCAGTTTAAACTACAGTTTTCCCCACAGCAACATTTGTCATCAAACAATATTTGCCATGTATAATCAAGATTTCTACGTTTTCCATCTTATTTCTGCAAGTTTTGTCTTTTCAGAATTTTCTAGAAGACGTAGAGGCACAGAAGCAAAATGGAACTGTAAAGTCTGGTTCCCAGAAGGTATTACTGTATAAGAATAAATTGAAGTTAAATTATCTTGATTGAGTCGGAACAATTGTTTATCAAAATGTACAATTTCATTTTTTCGACAATCAGTTTTAATGTGTACATTGTGTATTTCTAGCTTTTCAAATACCCACCCTATAAGTTACCGGCTATGATTACGTCAGGCACAATGTGATCCAGATGCCATTCAAAACACTTGTTTTGCTATTTAATTGATTAACAGTAAATTTGTGTCTGCCATTCCTATTGCTTTTGCAATACACTGAATTTAGCAATTGTGTGAATCAGAACTTGATCTGTATTACCTGTTGTATCTGTAGTATTGACGGTATATAGTAATAGGTATTACCTGTTGTATCTGTAGTATTGACGGTATATAGTAATAGGTATTACCTGTTGTATCTGTAGTATTGACGGTATATAGTAATAGGTATTACCTGTTGTATCTGTAGTATTGACGGTATATAGTAATAGGTATTACCTGTTGTATCTGTAGTATTGACGGTATATAGTAATAGGTATTACCTGTTGTATCTGTAGTATTGACGGTATATAGTAATAGGTATTACCTGTTGTATCTGTAATATTGACGGTATATAGTAATAGGGTGTGAAATAGCTGTCCGTCATGTCTGGAATGATATACACAATACAAAAATAAGAAGATGTGGTTTGGTTGTCAATGAGACAAGTCTCCACAAGAGACCACATATCATAGAAGTCAACAACCATAGGTTACCGTACAACCTTCAACAATGAGCAAAACACATACTCTGTTTGTCAGCAGGACAGGTAGCAGGATGGCAATTATGTTCACAAAATGAATGCTATTTATGGTATTTAAATAAATCACTATGTATGTTATGAATCAGATTGTAACCAAAATAGTTTAAGTGACGACTGGTTTTTAAATTACTGATAGACATCGAAATATTTTAATTGTTGTTAATGTCATCACGTAGCTTGCTTGTGTAACGAGGAATTTGGTTGGACAATAAAGCGGAAGAAAAATATGACTAGAAGGAAGACTAATATATACATATTACATAAAAGCAAAACTTCAAATGAACAAACTTTACAAAGATTCACTACATAATATTTAATCCCATGTGTTCATCATAGATAATCTTCTTTGCATGACTTTATAAAGAATTGGACCTATAATGGTAAGACATGTGGTAAGACGAAATGTAAATGTACATATAGTTATTCGTGTATTTAACTCGAATCATGTTTATATAAAAGGTGTAACTGCGTGACTTCAACCAGAAATCGAAGTTTTGTTCTTTGGTTCTTAATTTGATGTCTTTAAAAAAACTAATCCTAACAATAGTATACAAGTAGTTACATTTTTGTGTACGAGAAAATGTTAATGTGTCAAAGTATATTTGCTCCTCCTAACAGAGGTTCCTGTGGAAACTTATAAGAATTGCTTTAATATCTGTTCCTGTTGGAACAAATGTTCTATACCTTTCATTCCGACAGGAACAAATACTGTTATATTTCTTCTAGTGCAAATAATATTCCAGAATATGTCTTCCACATTTGGAACTAATATTATAAAGGAACTTCTGTTCCATTACATATGTTCCTGTTTCATGCAAGTAGCCTCGTCAGTAGTTAATGTTTGTTGAATCTTTGTGTTTTTGCCCTATAAGCACTTTTTTTTTATCTTTGGGAGACCTCTTGATTTTTTTTAATTCAGGGCGGGCTAAGACACTTGTCTATTGGTCATTGTTCAAACTATGTTTGTCCTATATAAGTATTTTGTGCGTGTCGTGTTGTTGGGTCGCTGTTTCATTGACGTATACGTCACATACCTTTGATTCATAAAAAAAATAAATTTGATTTTAAAATTTTCATTGGATGATTTTCTGATAAAGCAAAATTTTGTTGTTATAAAATCACGGATGACTGCTCATCACATATCACTTGATCTTTATTATTCGTCTATACTTACATTTGTAAACGATAAACACTGGTTTCGATAAAGTTAAGGTAAACCCCGTCAATAACAACTTTATTTTCTATTAAAAAAGTATGTACACCGGTTAAATTACATGCATTGTATGTGTACCTCTATGCACACCTAGCAATTTAAACTTTTTGAAGGAGGTTCTAGTTGTTTATATTCAGATAAAAGGTGTAACAAAATCTACACGATTTTTACAGGGGAAAAAAAAGGATGAATAATTCACCGCATGTGGGAGCTGTCATTATTCGAAACTGTGTGTGTTGTTTTTAAAAAACATTGGTTTTTAAATTGAGTAACATTTCAGGTCGATAAATAGGTCAAAAACATTGAATTTGTTAGGAATAAAGTTGTAATTACGTGATATTTAAACAATTAAAATACCATAATTTGAACTTTATGTTTGATACTTCAATTATATTTCACAAATTAGAACATTTTTCCATTTAATTTTGTTCCTTTAAGAATATCGGAGCAATAATGATACAATAAATTTTAACTAAAATACCTGTTTTTAAAATCAGACAATGAGAAAAGTATTTAAAAATCAATATTTACACAAAACGCGATATTGATAAGAGGTATGAATACACAATTTTGAAGTGAATTAAACATTCAAGTATTCTCTTATCAACATCAAGTTTTCTTAAAGGCGAACATTGAGAATATGGCTAGGGTGACAGAACAGTGTTAATATTTGATTTAGGACTTCTCGTTTTTGACATGTTAAAGATTAATTCAAATAACATTCAATGATGAAATCGAAGGTATGTTAGTTATTGTTAGTTGTAAAAGAGAACTATAATTTGCATAAACATATGTCCTCGCTTGACAAAATATAATGAAAGAATCATACTTGACCGCGGATGCTCTGTACACAATTACATAGTCATTGGTACAAGACCATGGATGCGTAATGAGGGTGAGACCCAAATTCTGAAAGTTCGGTTCACTATACCCATGTTGCTTACTATTTAATTTGAATTTGGCTATAGAATCACGCCTAGGATGACAATCGTTTTATAAGTAAAAAGAACAACTTGTGCTTTCCAAAATTTGATAAAACAAATTCCGGAAGTAAACGTTTATACTGATTTCTATTGGAATGCCCTGGTAGTCTTAGCAAAGTATATCCTCTACATGAACTGCGGCTGCGTAAATTGGTCGGTTTCAGATAAAACAGTTCTTACTTCTATTAGAATCGTTTTAGCACAATTTTGCATAAACGAATGGGTTATGGTGCGACAATAATGCACATGCAGAGTTAATGAATATGTCGATAGTGATCAGAATAATTGATGATACTGAAAATAGTATCAGGATCTTGCATATATGCTATCCTTATAGTGGCCATACTTTTAACTTCCTATATGTTATATCTGTAGTGAAAATATGAATATGTCCGACCCTTCATAAGGTCTTTATAACAAATACTTTAAACGCGATTGTAATGTCCTTTTCAATTACTGGACAATTTCATAATATGATTTTGATAGTGTTATTTTCTGCATTCTGATGAACTCACCGCTTGTCTTGAATCTTTGAACATTTTGAAAAAGGGGATGTATTTAGTGAATGAAGTGTTTCACTCCCGGATATCCTTTGTTTTATGAAACATATAGTAAGCTAGCTTAAGTTAATTTTCAAAGGTGTTATACATTCCAAAAAGTGTCATTTCTATTGGAAGTATCGACCCTTCAAGTTGACAGTTTATATTACCAATCAAGTATTGTGTGATGCTAATCACTTGATATAGCTTATCAACGTATTTAATATGAGTAACACGATGGGTCTCGCATGTGGAGCAGGATCTGTGTAACCTTCCGGAGCACCTGAGATCACACCCGGTGCTTGTTAGGATTTGTGTTGATCAGTCTTTAGTATTGATATACTGTAGTTTGTCTTTTCGTCATTTTTCGTTTTTTGCCATGGCATTGTCAGTTTATATTCGACTAAAGAGCTTGAATATTCCTTTCGGAATCTCTCGCCTCTCTTTTTTTCGGACGAAAAAAGGTGCAATTTTTATTGGTTTTATTTGGCATTAAATGTCAATCGATCAATCAATAAATTAATTAAATAAATTCGTCAAATCGTTGTCAATAGCATAAACGCAATAGTTTTGATTTCATGTTGTTTAATATTGATTGTACCTGTACATTGTATATTGCGAGAACGACAATTATTTCAAGGCCAGATTCGTGTTTATGAGATTGAGTTTTCAACACCTTTTTTATAACAAAACAAACATTTATTCTGAACATTTACATACAAACAATCAGCAACAACAATGAAAAATAAAAATTGTAGATGTATTATTACACTATCGTTTAAAGATCACATTCGACAAGTAAAGAGAACAATATGGGTTTTATACTAAAACCTATCGCCCAGGATTTACCTTTTGACCGAATTAAACATGATCAAGAATCCGAAGAAAGCACTGCTGTTTTACATTAAAGAATTAAGATCAGATTAAGTGTTGTTATAAACTTTAATCTAGTTCTGTGAAAGTTTGATATACATATATAATTTATTTAATGGCCGCAATCGTACATTGGCTTAAATGAAAATTCAAAAATGCCTGTAAGTAATTTTTTTATATGACATTTATAAAAACAAGGATATTGATAAATATTTATCTAATTTATCAATTCCATAGGCAAGAATATTTGCCGTTAACCTTTTAAACGCCAATGAGGTTGATTTAGCTAAATATATACGCGATTCAACTATTATGAAATTGATTGTGAAATGAGAATGATTGTGGGAAAGTAAACATGTTAATATTTGGATAATTTACCAATGTTAACTAAACTTGAACAAATTTATCTCGAAACTTTTTTTTAACGAAAAGACAACTTTTGTAAACTATATATACAAGAATGACAGGACAAGGATAGACAACATGATCTAAAGATATAAAAAAAAGTATTTTCAAAGAAAACTTAAGATTAAGTTACAGGACCCCGTCTAAAACGAGATTAAACTCCGACGTCCCGGGATGTTTTGGAGGAGGGGAACGGAGAATAAGCATTTTCTCCTTATCCACTGGTAGCATCTGTTGTATTGTTATGAAAAGAAGTTCCTTTATAAATAAAAAACTTCGAAATGGTAAAAATATTCTAGAATATTAATTCTACGGTAAGAAATATAACAGAATTTTTTTCCTGACGAAAAATAAAGTGTAAAAAATATTGTGCTACTAGGAACAGATATTATAGAACTGTTTATAACAAATTTTCCAGAGGAATTTCTATAAGGAGGAACAAATATACGTTGACAGTGTTATTTATTTTTTATGATAAGGCACATGGACCAAACAAAAGCAGTTAAATGTAACGGTCAAAGCTTAGAGAATGTGCTGGGCATAGCAAATGAAGAGTTAATTTTAGGTTTACAAACTTGTAGACTTCTTGTCCATTAAAATATGTTCAGAAATTCCTAAAACTGCCTAGAAACATAGGCGACTTATCAGAATTAAACCTGTCCTCAGTATTGACCGTAACTGACAAGTGAAATCTTCAAATAGGTTTAGAATAACTTATCAAAAATAAACATTACTTATCATGTATAATCAAATAGTTCAGATTACTTAATATCTATTTGATTTGAAGTTTTAAATGACTTACTCTCATGTAGAGAGATAGAAAAGATAGATGTCATATCTCAATAACGTTTTATCCTTGGGAATGTAAGCACTGTGGTCATTATATCAAATTTAAGTCATAATGTTTGTAATAACTAAATCCTGGTTTATAGTTAGCTAGTAGAGCAAAGGCACTCCAACTTCTTTTCGATAAAGATTTTACTTTTAATTGCTTGTTTATAATTTTAAAGTCAAAATATTTATATTTATAGGTATATATGTACCTCTAAATGTCATTATATTTCACGTGTCGTTAGCTTGCATATATCCCACATCTTTTTACTCACATCTTTACTATGACGGGTGTAACTAGTGGAGTAGGTTCTGTTGATCCAACAGAGCATAAATGATCCCCCCTCCCCAATTTTTGATGTGTTCGTGGTGCTAAAGCTTCAGTTCTGTGTAATGTTTTATTATTGCTGTTTCTAATTACGCGTTCTCCTTTTAGCTCATGGTTTTGTCTGTTTTCATTGAGTGTCCCCTCTCTTTTCTCTCTCTCTCTCTCTCTCTATTAATGTTTCAGGTTAGACTCCGTTATATCTTAAAGTAGAACCATCTTATTGAAGCATCTCTACATACCCTATTACCGGCTATCGGTTCTGCTGATGCAATAGGTAAAACAAATCAAAATATGCTGTACACGATGGCAAAATCCATTGTATTGAAATCCGGGCAATCGGAACGACAGACACAAATCTGCCGTGCACGAAAGCAGTAGTTTTTAATGGCAATCGGAAACACAGAACCGACTGAATCTACCGTGTTGATAGCCAGTCATGGGTTGTTTTCTGTCACCTGACCTGAGCAATATTGATTTTAGAACCTATTAATATTTTAATAACTGGTGATATATTTATCTGATCAGTTGCACGTAGTTTGATCAGTATGATTCATGGAGTAAAATGTATAGTCAAACCTAATACTATAGAATACTATTGGATGGTTGATTTTTGCTTGTTTAACGTCAACTGGCAATTTGTTCATGCATGTCCATGACGTGAACAAATAAAAAAATAAAAACAATATAGATATAGTTTCTGCAAGATAGGATGATCGGGATGAAGGGCGAGAAATTTGGACCGCAACTTGAAAATGAGGGTATTCTATGTTGGATAAGGGCAGAACTTTGCATAGGAACAGACCACCTATCAACTCCTCAACTGTTGTTGCAAGGGTTATTTAACATGCAGAGCGCGTGATACTTCCATACACTCCATTCCGATAGGACGTGGCTGCGTATGTATACATACCGCATGGTCAACAAACCCTCCTCTTTAGAAATAGACTGCCGGAATGGGAAAAGTCAAGGTGACCACATTTCTATACCCAAGTCAACTCTGGGGGTCAATAATACTATTGAGCATCCATTGATTTTCTGTTAATTTGACATAACATCCTAATAGAATATTTACAAAATATTTTACTTATAATATCCTATCTATTGTAGGTTGCACCAGATTTAGGAAGACTGCTTGCCACCTATCAACTGGTTCCAACATTTGAAAGATCAGACCGTCACCATTGTTTTATAGATAGTCTTGAGAATATAGATAACCTTCCTGCACCAGTACCTCCACCAACAACAAAGCAGCAAATTTTTGACGTCAACAAGTATTCCCATGTAGACGATAGGGCACTGAAGGTAAAATGTTAAAAGAGGAAATAACAATAAAAGGGTCGTAAAAGGGGGTATGTGCACGGACGAACTGGTCATTTCAAAGTGAAAGAAAAATGAAAAAATAGCATACACATTGCTTTAGTACAAAATTGCACGAAACACGATATATGATGAGCTTCAAGCACGAATACACGTGAAATAAAAATTGCAAACACATTCAACGAAAATAACTCTTTAACACCCGCCACTTACTTTTAGTATACCATCAAAAATACACAATATTAGACAAAAAATCTTAGAAATTCAAATCAACCTTTTCTCAAATGTGAACCTAACATTGCATCATAATGCAATATTTACATTTCTAATTATTGGCAATCAATTATAATTCAATTGGACAATACTGACAATTGTAGCTAACACTACACAGATCAAGGTATTATTTGCCTTTTATTAAAGACCGCAAATATAGTCGCCATCTCCGTGAGTGTATATAATATGTATTTAATTTAGTTTCATATGCAAGACCAAGACATATATACAAGCAAGCTAGCCACCACGTGCACCTTTCTGTTCTAATTGCTTAATCTTTAGTTTTCTATGTTGTGTTTTGTATACTGTTCGTTTGTCTTTTGGTCTTTTTCTTTTTTTTTTCCATGACATTGTCAGCGGTTTATTTTCGGCCTTTGAGTTTAAATGTCCCTTTGGTATCTTTCGCCTCTCTTTGTCAAGTGACGGGGAGATCGTATTGACACTTGTGTATTGTTGGCAATCATCTGTTGACCTCGAGCTCGTAGATGTCGTTTGGAATTTGTGTCATTGGGCTCCTATCTGTTTCACGTTTACATCACAACTTTATTCAGATATGTCTCTTCGACTGTTACCCTTGACATTAGTAATGAAAGTAGAAATCTACATATTTTAGTCTTAGATACATGATTTATTTTTATTAGTTGTTATTGGCTTTGAACTAGCTGTCAGTAACTGCGAGTACTCTCAGATCTGTACTTAGTGTCTTTTTGTTGTGGGGATGTATAATTACCTGTCCACATCCAGTCTATGTTTTTATTAAATGTATTTATATTTGTATCTATCTGATGAGTTAAGCCTTTTTCAACTGATTTTTATAGTTTGTTCTTATATGTACTGTTACACCACTGTCCCAGGTTAGGGGAAGGGTTGAGCGCTCACAAACATGTTTAACCCCGCCACATTCTTTATGTGCCTGCCCAAAGTCAGGAGCCTGTAGTTCAGTGGTTGTCGTTGGTTCATGTCTGTCATATTTGTTTTTCGTAAATTGTGTTGTTATAGATTAGGCCGTTAGTTTTCTCAATTGAATAGTTTCATATTTTTCATGTCGGGGCCTTTTATAGCCGACTATACGGTATGGGTTTTTCTCATTGTTGAAGGCCGTATGGTTGCCTATAATAGCTTACATCCACTATATTTGAACTTTGGTGGATAGTTGTCTCATTGGCAATCATACTTCATCTCCTTATTTTTATATTAATGAGATGTTTGTGTTTTCCTAGGCACCAAAAGGCTTACACAAACAACCACTGTCCGCATTGGTAGAATATCTGATTAACGGGTACAACGACGATCTATCAAAAGTCCGAGTGATTTACAGATGGATAACAGCTCAGCCAATAGATCAACTGAACATACCGAAGAAAGAACCTTCGCAATCACACACACTATTCCAGTTATGGCGGATAAAACACAGAAAAGGGAATTATGCTCAGTTAGTCAGTTTACTATGCCGGTAAGAGCTGATAATAATAATCATGATATACTAATCTTTCAAAGTTTATAATCTAAATTTAATGTTAAAAAAGGAAGAGAATAAAACTATTGTGAAAACAAAACTGGGACTACTATGCTCAGTTAGTCAGAATACTCAAAGGTAAGAGCTGATCCATCAAAGCTTATAATCTGAATTTTCAAAAGAATGAATAAAATTACAGTGAACACACATTTTGAAATACATTTACGTAGTATACTATCAGCTATCAAACATTTGAAAGGTGAATATAAAAGGGTGAATCAATACTCTTACAATTAAATGTTATTGATGAAATGTATTGAAAGGAACGACAACATTATAAGAATGAATAAGAATAAGAGTAAGAATAAGAATATCGTAAGAGGAATACTGATATTTCAATTCAACTTTATATAATTACGTCACAGAAACCATGAGCATACTTAGTCTAGTAGTTTTAGTGTATGTGCTACCAAAACGAACATAACAGGTGATAAAAGTCTTTATTGATCTTTTGATATATTGTAGGTTTGCACAATTACCATGCATCATAATACACGGTAAATTAAAAGGGTCCACATACGATGTAGGAGAACATCTAGACGACGAACAGCATTATGGTGAATGGAATGCTGTCTTGGTGGACGGATATTGGCGTTTCATCAATGCATACTGGGGAACGTGCGCAGAGGGAGGGTCCGATGAAACGCAATGGGAATGTGTTGATAAGGGTGATGAGGTCAAAGGTGATTCTTTGAATAAACAGCTGTTTTATGCTTGTGATGAGAATTATTTCTTGACGGAACCTGATCAGATGATCAGCACACATTTTCCAACGGAACCTGCATGGCAGCTTAAGAAAGATGTTGTAACTGAGGAACAATTTCAAACACAAGCCTTTCTAAAGGACCGTTTCTATAATCTCCAAATGAAATTAGAATTTCCAAAAATATGTATAGTGAAATCTGCAGGAGAAGAAATCGAATTACAATTTCAACTGCCAAAGGATCGAGCAATAAATCTAGATTTTCAGTATCTACTTTTTAGATTAAAATCTGCATCATCAGGGAATTTACCAAGGTAAATAATGATCACAATACTTGTATTAGTAAGATAGATTAATAATTCTGACTCAGATAATCACATATACGAATAGATCCACAGTAATATATTCCTTCTTGGGAATTCATATACACATGTATGCATGTACAAATATTCTGTGAATTCTAACATTTTTGCAATCTTTTATCAATGAGAAAAATGCAACATTTAAGAGTCATTGCTCTAATTAGCACTCACAAGGCTTACAAAATAGGACCTAGGATTCAAAATTCCTAGAACCTTATTTCTAAAGAACAATTCCTAAACCTCTTATACTTTAGCATACGTTTCCGGGCACTATTTTCAATATAAATGCACTTGACGATATATAATACTTTCTTAATTTATACTTCTTATTTCAAAGTATGAATTAAAATTTACGATGGCAAATAATATTCACTATGAATTGTTACGATGATTATTTCTTCATTTCGGAAATAACATATTAAAATAAAATACAGCAGACAAGAATGAACAAAAAAGGATGAGCTCTTTCAGTGTTATAAAGCCGCTTTTCCCGCTTCTATTCGTGTTATCCTAAGTGTGCTGTGTACATCTATAGTTGACATCCTACAGTAATACATATACCGACAAATGAAAATGAAAACATTATTTGACAGATACTTTTCTTGATTTTCTTCATCTCGACATAAACAGGTTGGGGCCAATTACAAAACTGGGTTATAATACTAGTATCCCATTTGGGGTATTATAATCCAAATGGGATATTAAAAAAAACAGTGCAAACAATCTTTATTTTTTAAATTAGCAAAAATATTGAATAAGGCATTTTCTTAGGTCAGTATTAGAAACGTTGGAAAATTGAATAAGTTGCTATAGGTTGATCTCCTTGAAAACAACACCATTCAAGGGATCAAACTCATAAAAAACTAGCTATTCAGAAAAGCTACTAACCAAAAGTTGTATCCTCTAATGTAATCAATTGAACTTTGTAATAATTTCCCTTGAATCCAAAAACACTTTTATGCACAGTTAATTTATATCCAATTTGGATGATTTGTCCCAACCTGATGAAACAGTTCACACGGGAAACACGATAATAGACTGATTGTTTTTGTTAATTTTCATCAATGATCACACTAATGCAATAAAAATCTGGCAAAGTTTTTTTTACCTTGCCTGTTATAGTTGAAATTGTTTGATATTACCCAGTATTTTTCTAGCTTCAGTGCACTAATATAGCGTTGTCAACGCTAGCAAAGACTTCGGTTTAAGGAGATGATAAGTCTTGAACTTGCACAAAGGTGTGAGCTTTTGATCCGTGCTATATGTATCTCTGTGACTCTGAGATGAAAACACAATGACAGAACCACACAATAAAAATAGTTTACAAAATACACTTCAACAAAACAAAAGAAAAGAAAATCACTGATTAGCAAAATTCCAAATTAAGCAGGAGACTCTTTAACTAAAGTTTGTGTTAATACACACGTTCTGCTCATGTATGCGACAAGTTCAGCAAGTATAACCGGGCATAATAAACATATCATTGCTGTTGTGTTTTATGTTCTATGATACCGTAAATATATATGAATATACTGTACTGACATTAGATGTGTTTATTTAGAATGTATATATTATAAACTGATATTTTTGTAGTGTTACCGATCTGTAAGTCTATAGTCATAACAGCATGATGCATGTTTTTTCAACATGATAATATACTAGTATTTTTTCTATATTTTTACTTTATATGCTAGACTTTTAATAATCTGCTTTTAATGCTTTATATATTGCTATTGATTTTCGATTTAAATATTAGTAGTTATTTAATTTCACATTAACCAATATTGCATGACAGACATGATTTCAACATGATTATTTGCACGCAACAAGGAAATTGTACTGACCCAGTAACTGCAGAATCGGACAATTTGTGCATCCATACTATGTACTGATTTGAATAGTAGTTACAGAAATATTTCATTGAATGTCCCTCATCTGTCAGACATTAACGAAAAAGATCACTCGTGCTCACTATTTTTTGTGTACCATTTTGAAATGTTTTTTTTTAATTCGTTCAAACGAACTGTTTACCTATACAAATTTTTCAAGTCAATACTCAAGGGAATTACCTTGAAACCATTTCATAAAATTCTTTGATAACCTCAGGATAATACATAATGAGAAAATAACGGAATGTTTTAAGTGCCAGTCTTTGTAAGAATAGGCAATTAAGAAAAAATTCAAAACATGGCCCCAAAAAACCCACCGACCTAACCACCCTATTATGAAGGTACCCTCATCCTGAGTTAGATATTTCTCGAATTACCAGACATGGTAGGTCTTTCGTTTCTGCGTGTCTGGTAATTCGAGAAATATCTAAATAACTTTTGGTTAGAATGATAGCAAATTACGGAGTTATCTCCCCTTATTTGTTAATTTCTAGTACATTTCAACCAAATTATATCTTGAATTACTAGAACAGGGAAAGGAAAGGAATGGTATATGCATGCACCATTATACATTCTGAACTTAAATTAATGTAAAGCTGAGTGGGTTTTTGTTTGTCATGTTTTCACCACTGCCTGATTCTTATGCAGATTGGTACTTAAGGCATACTAATTGTTTACGAAATAGCTCTCGTGTTTTTCGGCATTAATCTTTGTCACTTATAAAAAACTAACATTAATTTTACTTACACATATACACGTTTACAAAGTAGAGAACACGAAGACATTCAATATTTTACTTGCATGTTGTTTTTTTAAATAAACACCAAACATTTAACTCTTTTGTTCTATTAAAATAAGCTGAAACTGTATATATGCTACATGTATGCTTAAACGTCTTTAAAATTTGCAATTTCTGCAGTTTTTTCGAATGTTTAATTTATATGTCCTATTTAATGCTTATTGGTCTGTCTCCTTTTTTATCGGTGATATAATTTGTACGTACAGATATTGGTCTAGATCCGCCCTCTTCTTAATCTCAGATATGCAGTAAAAAAGTTTATCTAAATTTTTAGTGAAATTGTGTTTTAAAAAGTACGACTAGTTAGTTTACGTATAACCATTCAATAATTTATAAGTTGAGAAAAAAGAAACCAATTACTAATAAAATGAACGTCCTGGCAACAAATAAAGATATCCGATTCGATAGTATTGCCGCTGAAATTATTCGCAATCATTCGAACAAGATTCAGTTATGATATAACCAACATGAATGTCTGAGTTCAAATGGTTAAAACAAAACATGGGCTTTGATACAATATTTTAGTGTGCTCGCATTTTATACATCAGAAAATAAAAATTTACATATAAAACACACTATACAACATAAAATAATGATTCAAAACAAAAAATATTACAGCTTATTTAGCTACAATACATACCAGTTATTTTGTGTATGGTACAAATTATTAAATTGCTGTTAGATATAGCTAGTTATTCGTCAAGGTTGTGGGTTAGAGGTATTCTTAGACAAGGCAACACACATTATAGATATGTATCTTGATGACTAATATAAATAAAGTGCAATTTTAGCAAGAATATGATAATAAGATTAACGTACTTGCAATAGTTTCGGGTTTATTTTGAATTGCAATAAAGATTTCACAAGTAAGAGGCTATTGCATCTAATTAAGGATTATGTTTCAAATCACATAATTGTTATCAAAACAAACAATTTATTTCTTGGTTATCATCAACTATTTACTTGCAGGTATGATCGGTATGTCTTTTTACAAAGAAAGAAACCCGACATCTTACACATTCGAGTACGATCTCCTGTGAAAGACATATTTCGATTCGAACTGGTAGGAAAGGATGTAACAATAAACGAACCTGGTTATGATTACGACTGGGTAGCAGTCTATAAATTTGATTTCACTGGAAGTACTGCCACAGATGTTGATGCTTTCCCAGAATGTCCTGTGATTGGTTGGGGTCCTGGACGTGCTGCAGTGGAATGTGGAATGGCACCTATGAGTCATTTTGGTGGGGAAATTCTTCCCGCGAATGATGGAAAGTTAGAAATCAAATTCAGTACAGTAAATGGACAGGATTGGAATAAAATGGATATAAAAGGACAGTTAATCCGTGGTGGTAGCACACCTGAAGAAGTTTCAGACCACATTGTTCATAGAGTGGAAAATGGAGACATAATATTCAACTTGACGACACCAAAGAAGGGGGAATATGCATTTAAAGTGTACGCAAACGAAGAAGGAGATAGGGAGCCGAAAAACGTTTGCAATTATTTAATTACTTCAAATCAAAAGCAAGACAATACTCCTTTCCCAAGGAATTTCTCGGAATGCCTTGGAGAAAAAGAGGCATTCCGTGCTATGGGACTTAAAGCATTAACCCATGAATCAGGGTACATAGAAACTGGAGAGGAAGAACTAGAAATAGCTTTCCAGAAGATAGGTGACATTGACTTATCGCTCAATTTATCAGGCAGTTTGATACATGCTGAAATGGCCAAAAGATTAATTTCCGAAGAGGTTAATGGGAATAAAATCACATATAAAATTCGATTCCCAGGTAATGGAAATTATGGCCTGAGGTTAATGGGTAACAGAGGCCAAGGAAATGAAGTTATGTACGAATATGTTGTTAATTATAAACAGAAAAAACAAAAACCGAAACCGAAAGAAGAGAAACCACCACCTGAACCAGAACCTACAAAACAACCAATTTCTATTAGTCAAGGTATGCTAAAACAACCAATTATTATTAGTCACGGTATCCCAAAACAACCAATTATTATTAGTCAAGGTATGATTGCTATTACAATTATAAATAAGAAAAATACCTTCTTCTCATATGACAGATAACAACAAGCATGGAGATTGTAATATAAAAAAGATAGTATGCATTTTATCCTCTTATGGGCTAAAAATCCAGGAACACGCATACAAACATTAGTGGAAAAACTGAAGAACGTTTTGAGACCATGTGGTGCTTTTCATAAATACACCCAGAAGTTTAACAGAAGACTCCTTTAATTAAACCAATGGTTTAGAGGGGTACTGTACATATGGCTGTTATAGGGATGGTTAAACCAATGCTTTAGAGGGGTACTATACATATGGCTGTGAGGGATGCATTTATACGCAGTCATGTTCATTCGGATATAAGACTTTAATCCGAAAGCTCATGTAGGTAGAGTACAAAGCTCTCATTACGAAAAAAATACCCTTTGAACATGTCTAAATTTCCAATCCTTTTATATACCAATTGAGGAAGTTCGTTGTCAATTTATTATGATCTTGCATAAACATGAAATATTTGTCAATGGATGTTAAGCAAACAACAATCAACAATCAAGATTTAAATTGTTCAATATGTTTAATTTTTTAAAGACAAAAGTGTTCTAAAAGTATGAACAACTAAAAAAAAAATATCATTTCTTTATGAATTGTATAGCTTTGTTAGCAAATACATACAACTTTGACAGCACTAAGAGCCCAACATATCACGTTAGCAAAATGGCTTGCACAAATGTATTCAATTTTAAAACCTTTTTTGTCTACCAGTATAATAACTAGTACTGAAACTGTACGTATTGAATTGTGTTACTGTTTAAACTACATTACTAGTAATTGTTCCCAATCTTCCATTTTGCGTTTGGTTTTCAAAAATGCGTTTCTTTATCTGAGCACTTCCACTGCATGGTTGATATAGAAAACTCAAAAGAACGGAAACATACTTAGTGGGAAATTAGGGATTTTGATAAGTACGCGCATCTGAAAATGACAAGCCCCCCAAAAAAAAGTTTGCATCCCCCAGTTTTTAAAGTATGAGGAGGAACAACTGCCACCCTTGACTCCGGATCTTACGCCCCTGAAGAAACTGACAAAAATATTTTTCTATCCTTTGTTTTTAGATGTTCCCAATGACTTAAGAAAAAAAATAAAGCGATCTATTGATGACCAGAATGATGTTGAACTTGAAATGGCAATAGAAGATTTAAAAAGCCTTGGTCTTCCGACAGCACAAAAAGATATTGAAACAGCAGAAATCGAATTAGGTGTTATGAAAACAAGGAGAGGTATTATATGAATTTTGTCCTTTTTAATTATCAACTGGTTATACGCTTTGAAATAGACAATAGTTAAATTAGATAGTTTCCATTTGATTAAGTTTTTGATATCGTTTATTACATGTATATTTAAAAGTGTTTTTGACGTACTAAACAATTGCAAGATAAACAGCTGAAATAAAATTTGAGCAATATAGCACTCATGGTGTCAAATTACCGAAGTCACCGATAACGTGGGAATGATTCAACCGACAATCCGATGCACATCAGATGCGTCAATAGTAGAAGCCTGTTATGCTACCGTCAATAGTAGAAGCCTGTTATGCTACCGAGAATTATTGATACTTGTGTTATTTACATGTATGTCTGTAGTCAGCCGAAACCTTCAACTAGTTCGAGGTTACAGAACATACTAATACGAGAGAAACAATTGATAATTTTAATTCCTATCTCAAAAACAAGTATTAAGGATCTTTATATTGATGATACTGTTTGAGGGTTGGAGACAATATTTCGTTAAGTTGTACACGAGCCATTCAACTCATTGCCATGGGGCGATTGCATTTTAAAGTGATACAATATCAAGATAGGATTTTGTTTTTGGTTATTTAGAACTTTCAACTTTGTTACCCAACTTAAAAAAAATATCAAATAAAGCAAAATCATTTTCAAAAATGGTATTTCATATAATCAGTGACACTCATACTTTGTGTATCATCCTATTGTTCTTACTAATAAAATGACATCTCGTTATACCATAGAATTGAATGAGGCCACTGAAGTGAGAGATATGGCTTTGATTAAAGAAGCAATGTCAAAAGCAAAACGATGTTCGTATGAAAAGAGACTACCTACAGAAATGGCGTTAGCTAAAGCAATGCTGGAAAGACTCAGAAATATAACAAAACTTATGCATGCAGTTCTCTCCCTTGACCAAAAGACCATTGCAGAAATTAAAGGATACCAAAATCCTCCACCCGCAGTACATAGAGTAATGATGGCTACTTTGTTAATACTGGGTCATTGGGAGGAGGAAACCGAGGTAATGTATAAATAAAAACAAGATACAGTCAGACCTGCATATGAAGGTCACGCTCGGTACCAGGTAAACATTGCCTGTTAAGAAAGGTGACCTCTGGGTTGAAATTGAATATGCATATTTATATGTATATTTATTATACTTCACGTCAAAATGCCAGAATTTGATTGGATAATACGAGGGGAATAATTTATTCTATCCCATGGCTCAACGGGAGTCATTTTTTTGAATGCCACCCTCTCGTGCAGACCAATCAAAAATCGAATAAATTAAAGGACAATGAATTGAATTCACATGAATGAATTAAAGACAGAGCTCAAGATCTACGTTTTGGCCTCATAAGAACTTTTTCATAGATTGTCAAAATGAAAGATAAATTTTCTTGCTTCACTTCTGTTGGTTTTCTGATAATTGTTACGTTGTTGTGTATGTGACGTTAAAATGCAATAATGATTGAACATTCAGTATAATAAATTAAACAGCACATAGCTGAGACGGCGATAGAGTAGATTGATACCCCTCGAAAAAGCATTGTCAACCTCGGCTTCGCCTCAGTTGACAATGTTTTCTCGGGAAAACAATCTGCTCTATCACCCTCCCAGCTATGTGCTATTTATATAATGTATTGCTACAGCTGAAGAAAAATGTGACCTGACAAGACAGGATCGATTAATATGGTTGACCTGTAAAGCAGGTTTGACTGTAGCTGAGCAAATAAATTACTTTGCTCTCATCAAATAGAGCTTAGTAAAGTAGAAAACATCCAAATCCATATTTCTATTATTTTGGCGTGCTGTTCGGTTGCTGTCTCTTTTGTGTAGTTGCATACATAAAACATATTTTAATATCAGTAAAACAAACTAGTAAACTTTCAAATCGAAGATGTCAATTTTTTTCGCGCGTGAAAACTTCATCGAGAACGCAGAGAGCCAAACATTTCAAACGCAAACAAAATCCCAAAAAATATTAAACCCTAGAGCAAGACAAAATGAAGATATTACGTGGAATAAAAGAACTACATGTAGCTGTGATCAAATTTGTTTAAAGGGACCACAGCTCTAGTGTCACGATAAAGTATATAATTTTGAAACTTTGATTATCTATGCTTTTAAAAATGTATGTTAATTAAGTGTCCTCATGTGTTCATAGAATTTTGAAAGATAAAAGGTTTCTTATAAAATCATAATATTTTGGAAGAATTCTTTTATATGTAAAAATACTATAATTCCGCACAATCTGTTCTATGTTCAGAAAATGAAATGCAAACGTGGCCTTCATTGAGGGGCCTTATGGGGGGTCTCATCACGATTCACGAGTTGATTTTTTTGTCAATCACGATTCACAGAAATTAAATTTCCAAGATCACGGATCACGAAAATATAAAAAAAAAAAAAATCTGTAGAAAAACGGATCACGATAGCGAAAATGCGCCGATCACGAAGAACGAAAATAACCCATCAGGCCCCTCTTCATTGAATCATGTCAAAATGAATGTGTACTTTTAGTAAATGAATGTAAAATATGTTTTAAGTTTCTCTTCAACTTGTGAGTTTTCAATTTGAATGTCCTTTGATATCTTCCGCCATTTTGTGTTATAAAAATAATCATATATGATCACAGGAATGGAGGAACGTCCAAATTGCCCTTGGGAAAATGGGAAAAGATGCAATTAAAAGAAAGATACAAGAACTTACAATAGACGATATTCCTGTTGACGTTGCCCTTGGTGCACGAGATCTGATACGAGACTTTACATTGGACCAAGTCAGAATGGTCAGTGCTGGTGGTGCTACATTTTATGTTTGGGTAAGTTTCGTAACCGTTACTATCATACAATGACACACGTTCAAAACATGTTATTGTTGTGGAGATGGAGGGGAAATTATACACTTTAAAGTGTATAAGATTTAAAAAAATATATTCTCAGCAATGGCAATGAATGTTTTTATATATTTCTATATGTTGATATAAAACAAGTGAAGTACATGTACATGTACATGTACGGTAATAATATACACTGTAGATATACGTACCTACAGTCAAAATAAATATTTGGTAACACAACATTAGATTCATATGTCGGCTTTCACTCTTGAAATTTTTGGTGCTTTATAGATAACAACTGAAAAGAAATTCGTTTTTATTTCTATTCAGAAGACAAAAATACATATTCAAAAAAAATCTTCAAATTATGAACTTTTAATGTGTTTGTCGAACATTCAAGATTTTATTATCATTTATATTAATGTGGATTAGATTTTGAATTTTTATTTTTTGTATTTAGGATAAGTTGAATACAATAATTTGTTTTCTTTTAAATGATATTGTAGATCAGAGAGTATACAAAAGAAATTTTGAAATGGAGAAAAATTGGAGTTTCTTATGCATAGTAATTGTATATTTGTTTTCAAGCTAGACTGTATTACTATATATATTTTTCGAGTACTTAGCTAGACATTTTTATTTAGATTTCTTCCACAAAGTTAAAAAAAATATATATTTTAAAACGCTAATTATACAAAATATTGATTTTAAACCGCTAATTTTACAAAATATTGTTATAGTCTATTTTCAAAATTATCGACGCTGTAACAAAAAGTCATGTTAATGTACATCGGAAATATAACGAAGGGATCCATGATGAAATTTGTAAATTCCTAACGTCTTCGGTTTTATATCAACAGAGGTTTTCGTTTATTTTGCACTATAATGTTTATCATTTAATACTTTTCCCGACGGATTTCTTCTTTTTCCTGATTTTTCGAGACCTTTCAAATGAAAACAGATTCTACCAATGCATCTATAGTGTGATATGCTCTTGATCCTCTCTTTACATTTAAAATGACAAATACGAAACGATCGAATTTCGCAATTGGTTTTAAATCAAAAGGAATAGACATAGTTTACCTCTTGTTATCAGTTAAGCGATCATTCACTGACAGAGGTTTAGATCTAAATTATAAAAACTTCACCTGAAAGTTGTGCTGAAGAATGACTCAAATCATCACTTCACAAGTTCTTCGGTTGACATCAGAAATTGGTTAATCGCTACAATGTCACAGTTTCTCAATCCACTTATTTCATATTTTAACTCCGCCATAAATCCCACATGTTAATTCATGTCAACTTGACACTATTTCTGATTTGATGCCATGTTATCGACTTTGGTACTTACTTCTTTGTATAACTTTGAAATCATATGACGGGTGATATATGCAAAGTCCCACATGTCAATTTATATCAATTTGACACTATTTCTGATTTGGTGCCATGTTATCGACTTTGGTACTTACTTCTTTGTATAACGTTGGAATCGTATGACGGGTGACATATACAAAGTCCAACTTGTCAATTTATATCAATTTGACACTATTTCTGATTTGGTGCCATGTTATCGACTTTGGTACTTACTTCTTTGTATAACGTTGGAATCGTATGACGGGTGACATATGCAAAGTCCCACATGGCAATTTATATCAATTTGACACTATTTCTGATTTGGTGCCATGTTATCGACTTTGGTACTTATTTCTTTGTATAACTTTGGAATCGTATGACGGGTGATACATGCAAAGTCCTACATGTCAATTTATATCAAAAATTGGTTAATCGTTACAATTTCACAGTTTCTCAATCCAGTTATTATATATTTCAACTCCGCCATAAATCCAACATGTTAATTCATGTTAACTTGACACTATTACTGAATTCGTGCCATGTTATCCGACTTTGGTACTTACTTCTTTGTATAACTTTGGAATCGTATGACGGGTGATATATTCAAAGCAAGAGATGCTCATGTTGTTGACTCGCCTGAATATATCTCCATTTTGATTTTTTTGAAATTCAGGTTGTTTCACTCCCATTTTTGTCTGTTTTATACAAAGGCTTATAAAGAGAACTTAACATCGGTATGCTACTTTTATGTTTTATCATCGGCTAGCCTACGATAGTTAGCGAGAAAGACGGAGGACACATTGTGTCCGTCCGTTCGTCCGTCCGTCGTACCAATTTCTTCTTAACCGAAGAACGAATTTCAACGAAACATTCAAATAAGCTTTATTACGTAATGTACTTGTTCATCTTCTATTATACGTTTTGATCAGAATTATTTCAGGGGTTTTCCATACTAAAACATGGACTTTGCTCTTTCATATTATATGGGGGAGGGGGACATCCACCATCCTTCTAACCAGTTAATGGATTTCAAAGAACTTTCAAGGATTCTCAATGACATGATGTCAGAGTGCAACTCCTGTTTTACTTTTTGATCAGACTGATGTCTGGGTATTCCAATACAACAACAAGGCATTTGCCCTTTCATACAAAGATTATTGCATCCATCATCCGCAAATCCTTCTAAACCAGTGAGTGGATTCCAATTAAACTTTCACGGATTATTCATGACATTATGAAATTGTGCACCTCCTATTTTTCTTTTGGATCCAACTCATATTTGGGATTTTCCTCACCAAAGCATGGATTTTGCCGTTGCTGTTTTTTGGTGTATCTTTTTAGTATCCGCAACTCTTCCTAAACCGCATTTTACAATTTAGTGAACTATTTTCACAAACATTACCATATAATGCTATTGTGCACCTCCTACTTCGGTTTAATCTCATTTATTTGGGGGATTCCCTTAGCAAATTATGGACTTTGCAAGGGATAGGTGTATCCTTTATTGAGCTTTGTTCATAGTCCCTTTAGTTAACTTCCCATTTTTGACGTCTTTAACCTGTAATGTCTTGTTTTAATTTCAGTTGTAAATTTTTTACCATAAAAAACCTGACGATTTTGTTACATCTGTTTTTGTCACCTCATCCACTAATCACAACCGGTGATCTGATCAGGGAACTAAATGTCTAGCATATCATAAATACATTTTGTACAAAAAATGCCAATGACATTTTTCAGACTATGCCCCAGTGTGTATTGTATATCTTGCTCTTGTTTTTTTTACTATACCGTATGCTTTTTATATTAGCATTTTTGCTAGCATTTCTAAAAATTCAGATGTATTAAATCTAATGTACAGTTTAAATCAATTTTATTAAATAGTTTACCTCGAAATGTAACATGTTGTTTAAAGATATGAGAAAATAATAAAGGATAGGTATTGAGTCAATGGAAGGTTTTTGTTTCTTAAATGTGAAGATATTTCAAAGTACGCAATTCGCACGTTTCGTTTAAACACGAAGAAACAGGATGTACTTTTTAAAAATGTGTACCCACGTTATAATGATTTATTTCATTGTAAATAACTGACATTATGTTGTTTTAGGTGAAGGGGTTAACAGAAGAAATATGTCAAAGGAACAAGGAAATAATTAAGGACATCAGACCAAGAACAAGTCGTCGACGCAGGAGTACAATGATGTCAGAAAAATCTTTCTATTCTGAAAGAACAATGCCATATGATTAATTCAAAACATAAATGTATTTATACATTAGTATTCCGCTTCTTATTCCAAATCAAAACAATTGCAAACAAATTATTCCGACTATCAACTGTGATGCAAAGCTGTCTGATATAAATTTTACCGAACTGACTTGATTTATATTCCGTCCTATTTTAATCTAATATGTATTTATTTAATGTTAACAAATACCATGATTAAATTGTCAAAAATAATTGGTGATATGTAATTTAATTTATATGCCTACTTTTCCATTTAGTCTAACGTTGTTTTATAACAATATGAAGATGTGGTATTATTGCCAATGAGACAACTATCCACCAGGGTCCAAATGGAGTGGATGTAAGCGACTACAGGCCACTGTATGGCCTTCAACATTGAGAAAAACTCATACCTTACAGTCAGCTTTAAAAGGCCATGACATGACAAAATATGAAACAATGCAAACGAGTAAACAAACGGCCTGATTTATGAAATATTCTAATATGACGTGCTTCTTTCGCTTTGTAAAGAACACCATGATAAAATTCTCGATATATCTATACTTAGAACATACTCAGAGATGTACATAATAATGGCTGTTACAATATACCTCCCACCACTGAATTACAGGCTTCTGACTTTGGAAAGTGGTAGTTCAGAACAATAACCTTTAATAGTTGACACTAGACGTTAAGCAAACAATACTTGACCAATCTATAACTGTTCATTACTTCATTCATTTGGAATTTTATGCGACTGTCATACAAGTGAGAGGTTTAACTAGCTATAAAACCAGGTTTAATCCACCATTTTCTTCATAAGAAAATGTCTGTATCAAGTCAGGAATATGACAGTTGTTATCCATTCGTTTGATACGTTTGAGCTTTTGGTTTTGCCATTTGATTACGGACTTTCCATTTTGAACTTTCCTCGGAGTTCGGTAATTTTGTTATTTTACTTTTTAGAATGACATCATCATTTTGATTTAGTTGTTGTTACGAGGTCAGACATGAAAGGAAAGGAATTTTAGTTGTTTGTTCAATTGAAATTTACGTGCTTATTTGGCGTCATTGCAACCAAACATGTATAACCCCTTAACAAGAAATGGTGAATATTTGTGTGAAAGTATTCCAAATATGTGTATCCGACTAGAACAGAGTTATTGTAAGTTAAGAGAGAAGCTTGGAAACTGACCAGCAATGCTGTAACTAAATGTACATCCGTAATAAACATCTATAATATAAACGAATCTTTCCAATGTAGTTAACATGTAGAACATATGAGCAACACGACGGATACCACATGTGGAACAGGATCTGCTTACCCTTCCGAAGCACATGAAATCGCCCCAGCTTTTGGTGAGGTTCGTGTTGCTCAGTCTTTAGTTTTCTATGTTGTGTTTTGTGTACTTTTGTTTGTTTGTCTTTTTCTTTTTGGCCATGGCGTTGTCAGTTTATTTTCGAATTGTGAGTTTGAATGTCCCTTTGGTATTCTTCGCCTCTCTTTTGTGTCAATAATAAAAGAGACATCACTGATTTACTTTTTTTTAATACAAAATAGGCTGTTAAAATCATAAACTTTCGTTTCCTCTTTCTACATAAATATTACAGGTTACATATTTGCACCTATTAATGACATAATTATAGTAATATACATGTAGGTAATTAAAGTAATCTTCAAACATTAAATAATTAAGTAAAATGGTAACCTATTACATATTCCATAAGGTAACAATTGCTATGTACATCGTATTTTCAAGCAAGTCATATTCACAACTGTTTGTTTTTTACAGGATACATGTTAAATAAGGTAAGATAAATCCAATACGTCCAAGGACACAGTTATCGTCCTTTGGTTTTCGTTTTCGTTGTCTACGAATATAGTCCCTAGTGTGAACAGTGTATAACTTGCATTTTTTTTTGATACACTTTCCCAATTTATTTCTTGATGTTTTATGCATGATATATTAAGTAAGGGGATGAAATTACATGTTAAAAAAATTTGGGTGCTGAATCTTTATGTTAAGTAGTTCTTTGGTTCAGTTAAAAAAAGGTCAAACATTAGAATGTCTGAAGCTGTCAAACTGAATTTTAGCCCCCCTTAACACAGAATTGTCAATATTTTGAGTTAGAGCTGGTAGAAGTTTCTATAATTTTGATATTATTTGTATCAATAGTAGAACACTACACTGTAAAAATCTTTTTGAGATAGAGCAGGTGCGATTTTTTTAATTTGAATTTATTGTCTAAAAGAAATGCACTACGAAATAACTGTGTTCTCGGGCCAATACGTCATTTCAGTTTTTATCGATATGTTGGGTTACTTATGTTCCATTGACATATATCATACATCTCCTTAAGTCCTAAATTGATTATCAGATTGACATAATCTTAAATCATACTCATGTCAAAAGGATGGCACTGTGTACAACATAAATACAGGAAATCCATTGACTTAAAATATTCCAAATATTCCAAATTCGCAAAAATGATGTCAAATATTCAATTATGTTCAATAATTTTTTAATATTGTTTAAAAACAAAACAGTTATCATATCATCATGAAATCAATTACAAGCGTACGGTTAATACTTGAATAGTCTGCAGCATACCAATAAATGGCTACAGTTCTGCGACTTCCTGTAATGACATATTATATACCATTATCAATTTATTAATGTTCTCAGTTTATCCAGTTTCTGTTAGAAACATTGTTAGCATTCATAGTAAAGTTTGTGTTGTTTTGTCAATACTTAGATGACACCATTCTTTAACCCAACTGTCTTCAACACTTTTGTCATTATTACAAAAATAAAACAATGGATGGCCAATTGTTTTAGTTGTGTTCAGAATTTTAGCTGATTTTATCATTAAATTGTAATATATTTGCTTTTGATATATTGTATCACTGCATTCATGTTGAGATAATTTTATAATGATAAAAGTATTTGTACCTTCTATGCCGATGCTTGTTGATGTTGACGTAATTTGAAATATTATTGTGAAATGTAAAATTTGCGCTCCGTCCCAAGTGAACTACTAAACCTTCAATTTGAAAATTTTACTAAAAATATAGTTTCTTCAACATTTGCATTGCCTTATACTCTTTCCTTAGACTGAAGGTGTAAAAGAAGGAGATAATAATCTTTATCAAGTCATCATTTCAAAATCTAATGCATTACGGGTTTCCTTTTGAAAAGTTACAAAAGCGAACATCAAAAAGTTATTTGTTTCACATTTTTCATGTCGGGGCCTTTTATAGCCGACTATACGGTATTGGGTTTTTCCTCATTGTTGAAGGCCGTACGGTGGCCTATGATTGCTTGCATCAATTTATTTGAACTCTATTGGATAGCTGATTCATTGGCAACCAAACCACATCTCCGTATTTTAGAATGATAGATTAACAACTTCACTAATAAAAACATACTGTCCTTGGATGAAGGTGTTTGGGTAGATTAACACACGAGGAAAAAAAATATCACCCAAGACGAAATAAGAATCGGTACTACCTAAACTTCTCGCATGATCAAATCCGCTTTCTTTTGATACCTTAAGGGGCAAAAATTTTCCTGTCCAGCTTTAGCAAGGGAGAAATAAAAAATATAAATTGGATATTGTGGAGCTGCAATGCATTTTCCTTAATTTACTTCAACTTTTTTAAAAGTCTACAGGAATATACTAGTTCGTATAGTTGCAAAGTTAGAATTGTCATTCCAATGGTATTATCACAAAATCCAACTCTTAAAAATCGTTACTTCCTTTGCTTTTCATTGGGCATTGACATGTAAATGCTATACACTACTAGGGTTATTCACGGAAGGAAATCCCTTTCTATTTACATAACTGATGAAAAGGTATCATGTTTTTGTATTTGATAATAAGAATAAGTTATCAAGCTTTCAATAAAAAAGGTTGAATGACCAAAATGACTCTAAAATTAGAATAGATATACATGTTTTTAAGTGCAGATAACACTGTAAACTTCCTGTTCTTTTTTAAGTGAAAATTGAAAACTTATTTATAGCTACTGTAGCTCTTTCCAGAGCAGGCGAATTTACCTAGAAGCAAGTATTTTTCAAAAGACCAGATAAAAATCTGTGAAATTCGTACAGTTTTGATTATCTGAAATGTCCATGTATCATGCCTACATGGGGTTGTCAGTTTGTTTTCGATCTATGAGTTTGACTGTCCCTCTGGTATCTTTCGTCCCTCTTTTATACACATGACTTGATTTTAAGTTTTTCATGTTGAGATATGGCATTTGTTTTTTTTTCATTTTTTTTTGGTAGAAATTTTGTATTATGTTATAATGCCACTTTATGTTTTTATTACATTACAAACTTAAGAAAATTCTAATTCCAATGACATCTAAGTTTTATAAAATCTATATATAAACAATGCCACCACTAAGGGGCCACTTTAACATGGTTCCTCAAAATATAACGTTATGCATATAAAAAAAACCACTGTTGATTGCAACTAAAACATTTGAAATCAAGCTTAAATGTGAGTTTAATAAAACCTCTTTAACTGTATCTATCACAACTGGACTTACTTAAGATTACCCACTACGATGAAATGTGATTTTAATCAAACCTCTTTCACTGCCTCGGATAATACTCTTCTAATTTCCCCCTCTATTGTCGTTGGTAAGGTTTTGTCAGTATTAGCAGCAGCTGAGATTACAAGCGTCGAGCGTTGAGGAACATCATGATGGCAAACCTGTCTAAATCTTGGCTTCAGTTCTCCACCTTATAAATTTAAAAATTGACTTAAAATAAAATTGCTTTTATCATTTGACAATGCTCTTCAACTTCGTTCTTTGTTTGGTCTTTCAACTGTGTTGTTCGAACGTCACCGGCGAGTCTTTTGCGGGTCTGGCGTACATATCTTAGTTACCTACAGTTATGTCAATATTTAAGATATAACAGTATTGTGTTCTTGCAATTGCCATTGTCAATTTGTAAATTGGGTATATGACGTTCGAAAAGACAACTTTACTGGCGAAGCGGAACTGAGCCAATAAATCAGATGTTTGCAACCGTTTAGATTTAAAACTGGCGGTGTTTACTCTATCAACACAGTTCAGTTATTTATATTCTAGTACAAATGACTAGAAAATGTTCTAAATAAAGCATTTAAATATTTCCAGAAACGTTTACAACGATTGCGCTGTATTGTTACCAATGGCAAAGACGGTCAGACGTGGAATTATCAATAAAATAAAGTCT